GGCGACAGAGTGAGACTCCAACTAAAAAAAAAAAAAAAAAGAAAGAAAGGCACACATGCCTGAGAAGAGAGCCCTAACAGGGATGCAGCCTAGTCAGGGGAGGTTTCCCCAGGGAAGCAATACTTGAGTCAAGGTTCTGAAGGATGAACAAGAGTTAAACACATGAAGAAGGAAAGAAAGGACCAGGTGCAGTGGATCACGCCTGTAATCCCAACACTTTGGGAGAAGAGATGAAAAAATTGCCTGAGCTCAGGGGTTCGAGGCCAGCCTAGGTAACTTGGCAAGACATCATCTCTACAATAAATCAAACAAAAAATTAGCCACTGCACTTCATCCTGGGTGAAGAGTGAGACTCTGACTAAAAAAAAAGAGAAAAAAGAAGAATATTTGAGGCAGAACAGCAAAGGCCATACTAATTTATACTATTTCTAGCTCAACTGTCCACATCTCTAAAAGTTGAGTGTCATCATTCTTTTTGATCATATAACTCTGACAGGTAAAAAAAAAATAGCAAATGGATGAATGCATTTCCTTTTACTAGAGATACTAAGTTCCGTATACTGCTTGCCTAAAATATGGGGCTACCCAATAGATTCTACATAGTCTAATCTAGGCACTCAACCTAGAAGCACTCACTGGTCACGAAGTATGTCCCCATCTTGATTAGGGTAGAAAGCGAGCTTGAAAATTCGGTTCATCACACTGCGCTCAATGGCCAGCTGCGCATCCTGAAGCTGCTCTTCACTTGCGTTTTGCCATATGACGTCCTGGGCCATTGCGCCATAAAGGAACTGTAGAAAATCTTCTACCTGAGCGGTTTTATCATCAGCTGCTGTGAGTTTCTGAAAGTCTCCAATGTAAAATGATAATTTTTAAATAGCTTAATAAAGCCTATCCAAATAATTATAAAAACCAAATTATAAAAATCATTTTAATTATTAGCTATGCAGACGACATGATCTCAAAGCCAAAGTGTTTGGGTGTGGTTTATTTTAGGAAAATATCTAAGTAGATAATTAAAATCAGGAAAAGGTAAGAAATATGTGTAAGTTTAAGTGCAAGGGATTTGTTATAAAAATAATGTTTGTAAAAGGCAAAAGATTTAGCCGGGCTTGGTGGCTCAGCCTGTAATCCCGCGCCTTGGGAGGCTGAAGTGAGTGGATTGCCTGAGCCCGCAGGTTCGAGACCCGCCTAGGCAGGCAAGACCTCATCTCTACAATAAATCAAAAAATTAGCCGGGCGTGGTAGCGCGCGCCTGTAATTCCGGCTACTCGGAAGGTTGAGGTGGAAGGATCACCGGAGCCCAGCAGGTCGAGGCTGCGGTGGCCGGGTGCGGCCACTGCACTCCAGTCTGGGCGACAGAGTGAGACTCCCAACTCCAAAAAAAAAGGCAAAAATTTATGCGATCTGAAGAGAAGCAGCCCGCGGGTTCAAGACCCGCCTGGGCAGCGAGACCTCATCTCTACAATAAATCAAAAATCAGCCAGGCATGGTAGCGCATGCCTGTAATTCCGGCTACTCGGAAGGCTGAGGCGGAAGGATCGCCTGAGCCCAGCAGGTCGAGGCTACGATGGCTGGGAGCGGCCACTGCACTCCAGTCTGGACGACAGAGTGAGACTCCAACTCAAAAAAAAAAAAAATGTTTGGTTTTAAAAAAGAAAATTGGTATAGATCCAAAAATTACCAATTTCCCCAATTTTTAAAGTAAGCTATATATTCAATACAGAAATACATTATTGGTTTGACATCAAAGTTTAATTATTAAGAATCCATAAAACTGGTCAGGCACAGTGACTCACACCTGCAATCCCAGCACTTCTTGAGGCTAAGACAGGAGGATCACTTGAAGCCAAGAATTCAAAACCAGATTAGCCCATTGGGTATTAAAGGCATGTAGGTACTTGAACAGACTAGCAAAACAAAACAAAATGTCCAAATCTTCCCAATATCATACAGCTAAAGAGATGCTTAATCTAAAGGTACTGAGTTACCTTGAATGAATTCCCTGATCTTCTTTTCTTTGCTCTCAAGCAGTAACCTCACACAGACAGTGGTGAAGTATCGATTGGCTACCTCTTTGTCCCGTAAAACCCTTTGCAATAGCCTTTCCAGGTGAGCCTGTGTGGTCTGTAGTCCTTGTCGACAACGAGTGAGATAAGCAATATATGGGGCTCTTTTCCTAAAAGGAAAAATACTTTTCAGGACATCAAATATATACAGTATACCTTCTTTGAAGAGTAAGAATTCTAACTAGCCAGGCTCGGTGGCTCAGCCTGTAATCCTGCGCCTTTGGGAGGCTGAGGTGAGTGGATTGCCTGAGCCCGCAGGTTTGAGACCCGCCTGGGCAACTTGGTGAGACCTCATCTCTACAATAAAATCAAAAAAATCAGCCGGGCATGGCAGAGCATGCCTGTAATTCCAGCTACTCGGAAGGCTGAGGCAGAAGGATCGCCAGAGCCCAGCAGGTCGAGGCTGTGGTAGCCGGGAGTGGCCACTGCACTCCAGTCTGGGCGACAGAGTGAGATTCCAACTCAAAAAAAAGAGTCCTAACTATTTTTTTAAAAATTACTGCACAGACTTTGTTTTTGCAAACTGGCATGTCAGGCTGTAAAAAACTGTCTTGGGGACAAATCACGCTGCCAGCTAAAGAACAAGATCCATTTTGCATGTTTGGGAAGAAGATCTATTGGGCTGAACACTTCGTTACCTAACTTACTAAATGTTACTAAGTCCCTTTGAATACTTGGTCTATCTTATATTGAAGCAGTCTCTATTCTGATAATACCTCAAATTTAACAGGAAACAGACTAAAAATAACAAATACAGGTTACATGTCACTAGGTCATTAAACATCCTTCACCAATTGCTTGCTTCTAGTTTAAATGTAACCGTCATTATAGTGTCCATTTCTAAGACTTGAGGTCTCCTCCCTGCCTAAGTACCTCAGTTATATTTTTCTCCATAAACATCAGCAGGAGATTGGCAGCAGAAAAAAAATGTAGCAATCCCAAAGGCTACTCCTGCTTCTCTGGTTCAGGAAAGTAGTCTTTTCTTTTTTCTTTTTTTTTTTTGAGTTGGAGTCTCATTTAGTCGCCCAGGTTGGAGTGCAGTGGCACACTCACAGCCACCCCAGCATCGACCTGCTGGGCTCTGACAATCCTTCTGTCTCAGCCTGCCAAGTAGCCGGAACTATAGGCATGCACTACCATGCCCAGCTAATTTTTTTGATTTATTGTAGAGAAGAGGGCTCACCAACTTGCCCAGGCTGGATATGAACCCGCGGGCTCAGGCAATCCACTCGCCTTGGCCTCCCAAAGTGCTGGGATTACAGGCCGAGCCACTGAGCCTAGCTGGAAAGTAGTCTTTTCTATCACCCCTTAAAAAGGAAAAATGGTATCCTAGCTATCCTCACAATATCAGCATACTCATTTACCTGCTTTTGTGAAAGGGTAAGTAAACTGCACTGCTTTAATAGTAAGAGTTGTTCATTTATAACTACATGTCTAGACTAAACACCTAAATGTGTTGTTTGGAGATCTACATCTGGGGAAAAGGGAACACTTCTACACAGTTGGTGGGAATGTAAACTAACACAACCTCTGTGGAAAATACAGTGTGGCGATTTCTTAAAGATCTAAAAATCAGCCTTCCATACGACCCAGCTATCCCCCTTCTGGGAATATACCCATAGAAACTCAAATCACTCTACAAAAAAGATACTTGCCCACACATGTTTATTGTAGCATTATTCATAATAGTAAAAACATGGAAACCATGCTGACCATAGAAAGTGGACTGGATAAAGAAAATGTGGTACATTTACACGATGTAATAATATGCAGTCATAAAGAAAAACAACAGCCGGGCTCGGTGGCTCAGCCTGTAATCCTGCACTTTGGGAAGCCGAGGTGAGTGAACTGCCTGAGCCCATGGGTTCAAGATCCACCTGGGCAACTTGGCGAGACCTCATCTCTACAATAAATCAAAAAATCA